TTAAGATTTCCTTATAATTGGTTCACGTATTTTAATAATTTTATAAATGCTTATAAATTTATGAATACAAATTATCTCCAGATTTCTTTCTTCATAAATTGGTAAATGATAAATATTGCTTTGAGTGTATTATTTTTTTTAGAATGCTGTAAATATAAAATTATTCTTCTAAATAAACAATTTAATAAACAAACAGTGTTTAATATTTTTGTTGTAAATTCTGAAGAAAAAAACATGTATAAATTTACTTTCTTTATATGTTTAGATTTTATTACAATTTTAATTATCACTTTTTAAAACAACAAACAGTTCCGAGGATGGAAGGTAGATATAAAATAAAAGCGGTGTCAATGGAAAAAACTTCCTTTTGACATTTCATTTTTTTTCTTTTTGGCGGCCACGAACGTTCAAGTTTCCAAATGTTATTTAAAGCCTAAAAACCAGGTATGAAATTAACGTAAATTATTCGGCAATAAATAGAATTATTTTGAGAAGCTATTTTGTAAATTTTGTAGTGTAGTGCAAATAAATCCGGAAAGAAATTAATGGATCATAAAAACATCGTTTTTTACATAACATATTAATATATTTCAATGAAGATTTATACACAGTTAAGCACATATATAAAAATCACTAAATGTCAGCAACACTTTCTCCAGGCGTGACCGGAACAGGCCTTGGCGACGGCGTTCCTGTCCATGTTGGACATGGCGTCCATGATTCCTGCCTTGAGAGCCTCCTTGGTGTTGTTGGGCGTGGTGTTCACCTCCCTCCAAGACGCTCCGCACAATATAGTCGAGAGGATTGCGTCTGGCGATGAGGAGGGTCATAAGTCGGGCGACCAGTTATAAATCTTATGTGATCAAGAATGATCACATAAGATTTATAATTCAAGTCCTCTTTGACAATACGCCCGATCGTTCGACTGCTGGTTCCCAGTTCCTTGACGATTTTTCTCATGGTTTTGCTGGGATTCTCCTTGACAATCTCGGCAACGTCGGCGACAGAGAGCTTCTTATAAGTTTTGCGTTCTGGCCTGAAATTGTCTTCTGAGGCCCCATATGCTTTTGGAAGTACCATGGTTTTTGGGTATTTCAACTAGTCAATGATTTACTTAGCTTCGTGGCCGGTGCGAAGGCTCTTCATAACAGCAGTCCGACGGCTCTCTTGCCAGGTAAAAATTCCGGATTTATCTGCGCCACATTATACTTTCAAGCCAGTCATTGAATTAAAACATATATATATGCACACGAAAACATACGTACACACAATTTGAATGAAACTGAAAGTATCACGAGAGTTAATCATTTCTGCCTCTGGGTAACCATAAAAGAGATATAAACCGGTATTGTGAAGTCTTTTTTTTTATGATTCCTGTATTTAAACAGAGTAAAGGCGCATTGGGATAGCAAAAAATGTCTTCCAAAAGCTGAGTAAAGTATTAAGAAACATAAAAATATCATTAGAAACAAAGAAAAGAGTACTGATGTGTTATGTAATATCAATCGTCCTATATGGCATTGAATGCTGGACAATCTCGTCACAGATGAAGAAGAGACTTGAAGCAACAGAAACCTGGTTCTACAGAACGATGCTGAGAATGGATCGAACAGCGAACAACGACGAAGTTCTAGAGACAATGACAACAAAGGACACTTATAGTTAACAGTTGAATTTTCTAGGGTACATAATGAGGATAAGAGGGCTTGGAAAATTTGATACTTACAGGACATATTTAAGGTAAGGTAAGATGAAAACAACGCACAAGCGAGCTTGAATGAATGGATGGCGGAGCAGAGCTCGGGAGAGATGGCAAAAAGGCAAAGTTATTAATAGTTACAAAAGAAAGGGAATCGTAGAAAGCCATCAGCAACGTCCTGAATGGACACGGCACATAGAAGAAGAATATGGAAACAAAAAGGTCACTTATCAAAAAACGAGACAGTTGAAATTTCTAGTGTTCATAATGAAGAAAGAAGGCTTAGAAAATTTGACACTCACAGGACAGATTGACGGCAACATGGAAAGCAGTGCATAACCTGTATATTTTGTAATAAACGAAGTAATTTAAATGGACAAATAATTCATATTTGAAATTTGATCATTGGTACACGTTTCTTTTATGTACTGTGTCTCTTCATAATGTGAGCGATCATGGGTCTCCATCGTGGCCCTCAGCAGTGTTTCTCCCGGTTCCACCATCCGTTCACACAAACTCGCTGTCTTCCCCTATCCCTCTTGCCTTCAATATACCACGTGAGCGTTAAGTTTTCCAAGCCCTCCTTCCTCATTATGTTTCTAAGAAATTCCAACTGTAACTTTCTGATTCTAAGAGTTCTTTTTGTTGCCATTTTCTGAGACCTACTCGTTGCTTACTCGCTCCGTCGATGGAAATCCCAGTATCCTTCAGTGGACCCACATTTCTTTTGCCTCTAGCTGCCTCTTCATTTGGGAGGAAATTGTCCTGCATTCACTTCCATCCAAGCGGATTTCTATCACGTATCAATTCAGCACTCTTTTCTTTTCCTTTTTTTTCCGAAAGAAAATTTCCGGTTTCTTAGTACTTTGTTTAGCTTTTCAAATTTTACTGCACACTACAACCAAACCTTTCATAGCGTCGATGATATCAGATGCGTGTTTTTAACGTCTTCATTCATCAGCCGAGAAAGTGGCGGATCGGAGTTGAAATTTATTTTCAAAATAAATTTAAACATTGAGGGATTAAACAGAGATTTGGGTTTACTCAGAGAGTATAATTTCCACAGGGAGACCTCCAACCAAAAACTTTCTCCGGAAGAGTAAGTCCCACTTCTTTGTTTATTCCTTGCATCGTTGAAAAAGAACACAGGCGTGTTCGAAAATTCCGACTTTAAAATCTCTCACTTCGTGCTTCGATTCAATCTATATTAAATGTCTTTTGTTGGACTTATATTCCTCAAATTCTATTAACCGGCCTATTAAATAATATATATATATATATATATATATATATATATATATATATATATATTAATATTCTGTTGGTATAATCCAAGCGAGTCTTATTAACACAATATAGAAATATTAAATGTTAAACTGACTCCACAAAGAGCTCCCAATGTTTATTTTCATTAAACAGAGCAAAATTTTTCGTACTATTCAACTAATGGTGTCTTAATTCCAATTGTACATAATTAAGCTCTTGAAAATATATTTCAATTGGGCAAAGCTCTTCAGTAAAATGAATTGGAGCCCTCTAACTGATTGGCGTTTGTTTACATTCGTAAAAACAATACGCTAGCTGTTTCTCTCTGCCGAATGAAGATAGCTCAGTGGTAGAGACTCTGACTGATACCAAATCAGTCGGGTTTCGGCCCTAGCTTGAAGCATTCAGATGTCTGTTCGCACTGAGGATCTGTAATACAGCGAAAGAATATTGTCTGCAAATAGCATATATATATATATATATATATATATATATATATATATATATATATATATATATATATATATATTACAGGCATAAGTCGCGTAGCAGAGAGATAATTTATTAAAATTATAATTACCCATGAAAACTGTTATTTACCAGTTATATGTGCTGTTCAAAATATCCTCCTTATTTTTTAAAACACATTTCAATTCTGTGCCTGCATGATTCGGAGAGTTTCCCCTACATTTTACTGCATTCGTATTTAATTCTTTCTTTAAATTCCTCAATATTTCTTGGGAGCGTCTGATAAACAACTGATTTCAAATGGCCTCAGAAAATAAGAAAATTTCAAAACATGATTAATTAATTAACCCCCTGTGGTGCGCGACTTTTGCCTCATCCTGTATATTACCACATGTGTGCTGTCTCTAATTTTTTCCTCATCTATTAGGATGAGGAAAAATCACCATTTACTTCGATATATATATATATATATATATATATATATATATATATATATATATGTGTGTGTGTGTGTGTGTGTGTGTGTGTTCTTCCTGCTCTGTTCTGTTCCTTAGGTCCAATCAACTGATTGTCCTATGGATCTCGCATTTATTTGCTTCGGTAATGTTGGATTTCGTGAGGTCTCCCAGTATTATCTCTGTTGTATATTTTGTTTATTACACTGTCTTTAAAACTTATATATATATATGTGGCCAAAATAAAGTTAGTAAATTCACAACAAACCCGTACTGGACTAAACAGTGGCATATTTTCTTTTTAGAGGTTATAAAAAAGGTGCCCAACCGCACACAAGAAGAACAACAACCTCTATAAAAAAAAACAATGTATTTGTAGCCCGCACATGGAAGGTCGTTACAAACATCAAAAGAATCAATATGATATCAATATCGACTTTTGTTTTTAAATATAGTATCTGACAACGGTTTAATGCATTACGTTTCCAGGTAGGCCTTAGAAATTTGCTAACGATAAAATCTCCCTTTGGAAATGAACTTCAGCCAGCACCCCTTCCCACACATACACACACACTTTTGCACAAGAGGTTCTTACTACCCTGCTTCACTCTCCCTTGTTAATTCCACAAGCAGCTGGACCCAATCACGCAGGATTGTAAAAAAAATCGACAGGGAAAAATTATCTGATTGGAAATCTGGGATGACCACTGAAGCATTTCATACTCCCTCCCTCTCCCCTCCCTCTCTCTCTCTCTCTCTCTCTCTCTCTCTCTCTTCTCCAGCTGTTTGCCTTAATTACAAGAACCCTACCCCCAGGAGCTTTCTACAAAAAATAAAACAAAATAAAAATAAATAAATAAATAAAAATAGGAGGAGGTGATTCAGGCGAAGTTTTACTGCCTTTTCTAACCCATAAATATATTCTCGGTAATGTTGTAAGAGAAATTGGGTTTGAAAAATTCGCCAAGTAATTCACTTCAAAACTATTTCTCTTTCTCTCTCTCTCTCTCTCCCTCTTTCTTTCTTTCTTTCTTTCTTTCTTTCTTTCTTTCTTTCTTTATCGAAATAGAAAACTTTGTTGAAATGAATTCTTGCTGCTTAAACATACATACTTTATAGACAGATAGACCGAGAACATAAGAAATGTGATAGATAGATAGATAGATAGATAGATAGATAGATAGATAGATAGATAGATAGATAGATAGATAGATATGCGTTCGTTTTTTACGGCTTATCATCACTTTGCAAGTTATTTAAAACCAGAAAGTATTTTTAGATTGTAAAAAAATTATTTTGGGGATAATAATGATTTAATGATACAAGTCTTACTAATTAACCCATAGTTGGGTATAGAAGTGATGAATTCATCCAAGAGTATTTGTCCATAAGCAAATATAACGAACTCAACAAGAATTGAAACTCAGCTCTTCGATTATCAATTGCGAGTCATTATCCATTACACCACCTTCACACCCAGACTTACAGCACCTGATATTCCCAAGCGGTTAGCCATTTAGGTACTGATTTTGCTCGACTTTGTTTAATTTCGTTGATTGTAGGGAAACGGTGTTTCAACGCTTTATGGCTGTAAGCCAAATAGATAGATAGATAGATAGATAGATAGATAGATAGATAGATAGATAGATAGATAAAGAAAAGACTGAGATAGATAGATAGATAGATAGATAGATAGATAGATAGATAGATAAAGAAAAGACTGTTAGATAGATAGATAGATAGATAGATAGATAGATAGATAGATATGATGATGATAGATAGATAGATAAAAGAAAAGACCGAGATAGATAGATAGATAGATAGATAGATAGATAGATAGATAGATAGATAAAGAAAAGACCGAGATAGATAGATAGATAGATAGATAGATAGATAGATAGATAGATAGATAAAGAAAAGACCGAGATAGATAGATAGATAGATAGATAGATAGATAGATAGATAGATAGATAGATAAAGAAAAGACCGAGATAGATAGATAGATAGATAGATAGATAGATAGATAGATAGATAGATAGATAGATAGATAAAGAAAAGACCGAGATAGATAGATAGATAGATAGATAGATAGATAGATAGATAGATAGATTTACATTATTCGGGGTGTTATCCTCATCTTCACTGCCATATTCACAACGTTTCGGTCGTTGTACGCTCCGGCCTTCTTCAGGTGATTGGAATTTCGAACCGAACCCTTTATTTCGTCCACCTGGGTAGTTTGTTCTAGTTTCACGTGCCAAACCTCTTTCGGTTCTTATTTCCCTTTAACTCAATTCTCCAAGTTTTGGTTCACCTACTGCTGTAGCCTGGAATTGAACTCACAACTCTTTGGGTCTAGTCACTGAATCTAACCAACGCCTTTATTCATTGGGCGTTGTGAATATTGCAATGAAGATGAGGATAACACTCCGAATAATGTAAATAATGTAAGTAATCATACAACCTCATCTCAGAGATATAGACAGAGATAGATCTATGTATGTTCATGCAGCAAGAATTCCTTTAAATCAAGTCTCGTTAAATTTAACTCACGAGATTTCGGGCCCTGTGCCTTTATGAATTTCTGGGATTAGGATTTATCTTTATTTACATTATTTACACGCGGACTCTTGTCCCTATGTTTGTTACTGTTACAACAACGTTTCAGTTGTTCTGCCCTCCGGCCTTCATCAGATGCTTGTTGGTCCAAGTAGCCTTCAGGGAATTTCCAACTGCGTCCTTTATTTAATCTACGAGTGTAGATTGTTTTTGCTGACCACGCCTAGGGATATCTTAATAAATAATGAAAAAGAAACGGCAGTAAAGCTTCAACAGCAGCAGCAACAGTCAAGTTCTACACTCAGAGTTGTCTCATGGGAGAATAGCCAAGTGGATTAAAACTTTGGTTCGTTAATTTGGAGATAGGAATTGTGAGTTCAATCCCTGGGCTGGGTAATGTGATACGAAATAAGAACATGACGAGATATCGCATCAGGCGTAGATGCCATGCAAACAGACCTTTTTAGAAATACAGGGGAAGAATTCTACAAAGGATTAGTACAGGCATTTACCAAGTGTGTACGGAAAAGAAAATATCATTCTTGGACTAGTAATTCAGCTTTATCAAAACAAGGAGAAAATAAATGCCTTGGTAACTATCACCTTTTTACGTTACAATCAAACATATATGAATTATTCTCAGAAGTACTTAAAAACAAAGTAACAAACATTTTAGATGAGACTCAGTCACGCGAGCATGCTGGTTATAGGAGTGATTACTTAACAATAGACCATCTGCAAACAATTGATCAAAAACAGAATGTAACAAACCACTTTGATTCTTGTTAACTATGAAAAAGTAGTAGCACATTTGGTGGTCTTGAATTCACTAACACCAGTATATTTTGTATTCTACAAAGAGAATTATAAAGAATGTATATCATGATAGTCTTGCAATAATTCGATTACACAAAGTAGGATTGAGACAAGTTGATACGATCCAGCTCAATTATTTAAAATATCTTGAAAGTATCTTGCAGAAAACAAACAGGGAAGAAATGAAAAAAAGTGGAGGATATTTGGACCATTTATAATTTGTCGTGAATAACAAGAAATAATGAACGGGTTAAGTGAAAACCTCAAACAGAAATAAAGCAAAAATGATGTTCGATTGGTACGTTTCCAAAGAAGATATAGGATGAAGACCTAGAAGGATTCCAGAAATACATCCGCTTAGGCTAGACAGAAAAATTAAAGAAATTAATTAAAGGATGCATTGAAAGAGAAAATGAAAAGCGAAGTAACGGGAGTGAATAATTTAACCTTCTGCGATGTCGGCTATATTATATCAATAACAGAATCAACTAAAATAATTGTAAATTGCCCTGGATAAGTAAACCTTCAAGATGGGTTTATAAAATCAACTGAAATAAAACAGAAATAATATTCGATTGCAACGTTTCGAAAAGATCATAAGAAAAGAGAATGAAGATCTGAAAGAAGTCCAGAAGTACATCTACTTAAGGAAAATGATAGCATTAAGAAGAGGCAATGAAAATGCAATTTAATGACGTATAACAATCAGATGGAAAGTGTTGTAACCTAGGGAAGGTTACTGAATAGAATAATCAAACGAAGGTTGGTAATGAACGGTAATACTTAGGAGAAGAACAACACATATAAGATTCGTCAGCGGCGCGTAGAACTAGTCAACTGCTAGACGGGAGTCAACATGAATTCCAAAACGAATTTCCGACTGCAGACCAACATACAGTATTTACTACTGTATTTATGTGAATGGGGACAAAACCATTATCGTCCGTAGAAAGCATTTTAAAAAAAATAATGTTAGAATGAAAGGCTTCTTGACATTACGAGTAAAACTTAAACCTCGTAATGAATGCCTGATATCGTCTATGATGCGCGGGCGAGAAATAAAGGGAAGTAACAAAATCGCCGGAAAACAAAAACTTAGAAACGTACAAAAATCAAATGGAAGAGCAATAACTTGGGATAATATGAAGGCACAGACTGAAACCAAAATGAATTTTAGATCAAATTTAAGATAACAAATATCACAGAAGTAAATAAACAACAAAAATGGAAACGAGTGAGACACATAGCAAGAAGAGAAGATAAAAGATGGAGCAAAAGGTCGACTAAGTGATTTCCAATGGTAGCAAATAAAGTAAGAACAGAAGAAGGCGACACGAGATATAATAGTTTCCTGGTAAGATTTTGCATTGAAAGCAAAGTTACAAACATTAAAGAAGGATCAGGGGAAAGGCCTTTGTGCTTTAATGGAAGATAACAGAAATGTTGATATTTTAAAATAATGTTCATCACTATACAAGAGCCACTCAAAGGTTATTGAAGGAGGTCGTTGCGCAAGTAGTAAGATTAAGAGGTAAAATACGAAGTTTATGAGGAAATGTGGGAAATATAATGATTAAGCCTAGACTTGATCAGGCTAAGACTGTAGCGTTCGGGGAAGCATACTCTCGGGAGTCAATTTGACAAGTTACTGGTTCGTGGGAATATGTTCGAGTGGAATTTTGATATGAAATTCTTTAGAATACACTTAAATATCTTCCAGGAAATGAACTGGCTTCGTTGATTCTGATTACCGGCATATCAACCTCTGTGAATTATTTAATGCCGAAATCTAAATATTTTGAACACAATTTTATGGCTTCAACTAAATATATTTTGAACGTAATTGTATGCCTTTAATTACAAATAAAATGTATCGTTGGTAATTTTGCTATAAAATGAATCGTTGGTCATTTTGCTATAAAATGAATTGTTGGTAATTTTGCTATATCTACTATGAAATGCATTGTTAGTCATTTTGTTTTAAAATTCATTGTTGTTATTTTTACTATAATTAGGTATTATTGGTAATTCTTTTTATATAAAAATGTATTGCTGGTATTTTTTACTACAAAAATGTATGTTTATACATTTATAGTATTTGTTTATGTTTTGGGGTTTACTATTTGTTTATAGGTGGGATACTACCAGGTACCATCCTGGGTCAAGGTGGACCAGGGAACAACAGTGATTCCAACCTCTTCAAAATCCCCAATCTCCCAATCAGAGGCCTTACTGCCGGGTTTAGTTAAAATGAACTGGGAAAGAACTAAGGAAGGAAGGAAGGGAGTAAGCAGAGCCGTTAAAAGTATAGAGTTGAAGTAGAATGTTAATTAAGTAGACTTTAGAAGGAACCGGAAACCTAATCCTAATCAGGGAACAAGGAATAAACCTCTACACCTTTTCAAAAGACCGGGGAGGAGTGTGAACCGGATGATAGGTGAATCTATGTGCTTCTATTGTGGATGAGAAAAAAATAAATAATTAGTGAAAAAAATTCAGAGTTCAGGCGGAGACGTTAGGAGTGTAGAGTTGAAGTAGACTTTAAAAAGAACTGGAAATCCAATCTTAATTAGGAAACAAAGAATAAACCTCTACACCTGTTCAAAAGACTGTGGAGGAGTTTGAACTGGACGATAGGCAAACCTATATGCATATGTGTATGTTTGTGACACGTCAACATGTTACCTACCTATTTACTTAAAGCCCAATGAATCAAAATCTATACACGTACATGTATAAAAAAAATATGAGAGAGATATTTAATTACAGTTATTATTAAAAGAGATGTTTCGAGATCCTTAAAAGCCCTATGCAGAAGAATAAATACAAGTAAAATAGGGCCGCTTGTTTACAAGATCTATGTCCA